TCAACTTCGCGCTGTCGATCGCCGGATCGGCTTTCACCGTGGACGAAGTGGAGTCCAGCCCGGGATCGCCACATGTGGTTGCCGCAGGCATCACAGTATGGTAAGGGACGTAACATTTCCGTCACACGCTTGAGGAATTCGGCCAATCACAACGCACTGGATAGCTGGCCAATCAGAGCACACCTCGCTTTTTCAGACCGATGAGCTTTGTAAAAATCGAGCGTTTCAGAAAGGCGGAGCATAGAGGAGAAACAATAATGTACAGTATTTGGAAAATAATGTGTTTTTTGAACCTTAAACCGCATAAACACATTTCATTACACCAAATACACAAAATAATGTTCTTTTTAGCAGCATCATATGACCCCTTTAACTGAACTTTCTCCCAGGCACATTCTTTGGTTTATGGGATGGTCATATTAACCCTACTTTCTGGTGAACTGAACATGTAAAAAGTGTTGTGAACTGTGTAATGTGCTTTCTGTTCTAGAAGCATCCCCACGCAAGAAACACAGGTTTCGCCCTGGCACTCGAGCTCTCATGGAGATCCGCAAATATCAGAAATCTACTGATCTGTTGCTGCGCAAGGCCCCGTTTTCACGACTGGTACTACTGCTTCAGTGCATCCTTCAACAAGCACCTCAGATCCCATGACAAGCCTTTTGACACCTAATAATTCGAAACATGAACAAGCTGTTTTCATTGATGTAACCGTAATGTAAAATTTTTTTCCTCCTGACAGGTGCGAGAGGTGTGTCAGACATTCAGTCGAGAACACATGATGTGGCAGGGATATGCTCTAATGGCTTTACAGGAGGTAGGTGACAATTAAGATTTATTTTTAAATTTATATTGTATTATAAAATGGAGAGTTCTGGCCCTGGATGCTGATTGGTCCGTGGAAATAGCTAATATATCTAAATCACTGCACAGAGGCCAACTGTTAACTTTTAAATTAACTATTAAAATTTGTGTCTTTGGTATTTTTATTATGTATGAAGGTGAATGGCAGTAAACGTGCAGTCACTCCAAAATCAAAATTGAAAGAAGATTTAAAGATTAAAACTTTTTCTTTAAAGAAAAGGAAGTATATTTTTAGGCCATTAACAAAAAAGTAAAAAGTCACTGTAATGTGTTTTGAGGTTCTCGTTATTGCAATTTCATTTCAACTGAAAGATGAGGGTTGTAATAGTAAAGTTGTCCACTAGAGGGTCCCACAGGATAATAAATCTGGTGCACTGGTAATAGTTTTACATAATTAGTTCTGTACCAACAGCAGCACCACAGCAAAAACTATTGGAGCACACCCCCTTTAACTCTTTATTTATTTTAACTATTTTCATGCTAATAATAAGTACTATTAATATGTAACCTTCAGATTGCAAACAGCTTTAGAAATGCAGTGTAAATGCGGACTAATTTATTAATGAACAAAACTGCCACACTTTTTAATGCTTTTTGTCCTATCCGTGGCTATGGTATCAATATTTCTATGATGGTTGTGGTTGTTACTCTCAAAACTTGTATTCAAATTGTGAATTGGTAACATTTAGATACAGAGAGAATAACGAAATAAGCTGAATTCGACACTCCTGCTAAAAAAATCAAAGAGGCTACTACAATGAATGCGTAATGAATAACATATTTACATTGGGTTTACACTTTGTGCTATGGTATCAATATTTCTATGATGGTTGTGGTTGTTACTCTCAAAACTTGTATTCAAATTGTGAATTGGTAACATTTAGATACAGAGAGAATAACGAAATAAGCTGAATTCGACACTCCTGCTAAAAAAAATCAAAGAGGCTACTACAATGAATGCGTAATGAATAACATATTTACATTGGGTTTACACTTTGCCGGTTGTAATGAGAGGAATTCGCGAGCATGCAGGAGCTCACACTGAATACATACTTGAGCAGTGTTGAGTGGATTCTGACTCTGATTGGCCATTGTGTTCATGTGCTTGATTGGCTACAATGTTTAACTCTGCAGAAATACATTGTAAATAGAAATTAAATACAAACACAAATACACATGGCAGCGGGTACCAAATACATTCTGTATTGGGTTTGTAAGCCAAACTGTTTTGCCAATATGCTGTTATAGTGCTCTTGCATTCATTTTAGGGTTCTTAACACCCCTGTAGAAACCTGTACTTACCTCCCACTCACCTAATATGTGATCCTGGACCACAAAACCAATCATAAGAGTAAATTTTTTTAAATTAAGATTTATACATAATCTGAAAGCTGAATAAATAAGCTTTCCATTGATGTATGTTTTGCTAGAATATGACAATATTTGGCCAAGATACAACTATTTGAAAATATGGAATCTGAGGGTGTAAAAATACTGAGAAAATCACCTTTAAAGTTGCCCAAATGAAGTTCTTCCCATACAATGTTTTTTTTTGGCTATTGCTACAAATATACCCTAGTGACCTAAGACTGGTTTTGTGCTCCAGGGTCACATATGTTATTGTTCTGGGTACGGCTGGGTATTATGTTACATGGACATACAGTTTTTCTGAAACAAGCGGTAGACCAGTCACAACAGATTGGGCTTTTTGGAAGGTGGGTTTTAAAGAAATCAAAAATAAAACATTCAGACAGAAATAGCACACAGTGCACACAAGCTAAGCACGAACTGCACTTACTAGATTTTTCAAAGAAAAAAAATCTATCAAGTCGTTAATGAATATGTTGCACTTTATCATTTACACTGTTTAAGAAATCAAACCATTTTCAAAACGGGTCCATAAAGCCTTTGGACATGGTGTATATAAATCATACTAATTGTCCTTAAAATTAACAGCTCTTTACTGTAGCCTACAAATTTTTGGGTGATTATCATATTTTTCTGCAAGAAAAGCTGCTGATCGACTTAAGGCTGCTGCTTTGTGCTGTCATTCGTTATATTGCCAGCAGTTGAAAAAACTCTCAGCATGAACACAGAGATATTTCCCATGCTTATTAAACACTTATGTTCATATTCATTACAGTCAGGGCCAGATTGACCTTTTATTGTGAAAATAGTTTTTGCCCTCCACTTTCTCCCTATTAATATATAGTATTAACCACAAAACAGCCCTGCCCCCTCCTGAATCTATGGAAACCATTACAGTGTTATGCTCTGTATCGCAAGAAGTGCAAAGTCGTTCAGCTTGCGTTCAGTCATTGTTCTCAAACGAGAGAACAACTACACATGTTCTTCAGAGAAAGACCTTTTAATTAAGTCAGGAATAATTGACTCATGTCATGGCAACATCACCCCCTCGGGTGTGCATTAATTTTCTAATAATTCAACAGCCCGTAGTCAATTATTCTAATTATACTACAGTTAGCACACCTCAAGACATTGTTCAGATGTTTTATTTCAAGACATCTGTGAAAAGTTTGTCCTTAAAATGCGTTTGTGTTTAGGACTAATTTCTTAGGTATTCTCTTCTCAGGCTAATTTCACTTGCGTGTCAGAAGGGGAGTAGGTGAGAAATAGAATGTGATTATTACACAGAATCACTGATTATTAATGGGATTTATTGTCTTTTGTCGTGTTGTGCTGCTCATGTTGAGTGTAGACGGCGTTAGTTATACGGAAACATTAAATATAAATAGCTTACCAAATTTAGTGTGACGGCTGAGCCTGTTTTTCAGTCGGTTAACAATTTTACCATAACTCTATTTTTGATATTTACAAGTCACTGGTCCAATTTGTTTTTAGTTGTTTTTGCTCAAGCTCAGTCCGACCAAATCTGCTGTATAGGTGACCAGCTTTCTGCAATGGAAATCGGGGACATATCCTATTTGAGTGGTCAAAATATAATTGAAATCTCAATTGTTATTATTTATGAATTTTAAAAAATGGGGACAGTACATTTAATTTTGATTTTAAATTGTGGGTTCCCTATACTGTTATTAAAGTAATTAAATTTTAGACTATGAAAACAGTTAATAGCAACAATTGTAAATAGCATAGTTAAAAACAATATCTACCAAAATTTCACAAAAACACATTACAAAATAAAACTAAAATATGAGTAATATTGTAAATAAAACTTTAACAGTATTTTTTAATTGTATTTAATATTTTCATTTTCACTAATTATACTGTTTTACCTTTCTGAAACGCTTCGATTTTACTAAGCTCATCGATCTGAAAAAGCGAGGTGCACTGTGATACAGACAAAACAAGCTAAGAACAGTTTATGAATATATTGCTTTTTGCAGATTAGAACATCAAGACTTCACATTGGTTACCAGGTGGGAATAGTAATGTCTAGACAGACTGCTTAACCGAAAAACAGAAACTAAAGCTACATTGTGATTAACTACGATTTATGTCTCATCCACAATTCATATTGTCATATTTTTGTACTGCAGTATATAATTTTTATTGTAATCATTTACAGTATGTTATAGTTGTTTAATTATTGCTCTTTCATGTGCTTTTAGGCTGCAGAAGCATTCATGGTCCGTCTGTTTTCTGATGCCAACCTCTGTGCCATTCATGCCAAGAGGGTGACACTGTTTCCACGTGACATACAACTCGCCCGGCGAATCAGAGGTGTTGAAAACATGTGAAGTTTTTTTGTAAGATTTGACTAATTTCCTTAGACACTTGTAAGGACACTTTCTATATTTGGTGGCATGTGATCTGTTTTCAGACTTCAATTCAAATGTTAAAATAGTTGCATATATGCAGTCAAAGAAACCAAATATTCATATGGCATGGGAGTTTATTGACATGATCTAATTTTTTAAGAATTGTAATATAAAACATTTTATTTTGTGTTGTAAAGTTGCAAAGAAGTTGTTTGTTCTGATGATGTTTGTTGATAATAAACTGATATTTGCAGTATTGCCGTTTGTGTTGGCATCTCATCAGAATGTTTGTGTTTTTAATCAGCTTGGTTCTTAAATTGCATTATATTGATAATATATAGTATTGTCTATATTCTTAAAGTTCTTGGACATGGATTGCTAACATCCTGCTAAATTGTGGCATATCCTTGCACTTCCAAGTGCCACATTATCAAAAGCTAATTAAAGAGTTAGTTTCAGTCCTTTTATCCGATTAGATTAGGCACTGATTTTTTTTTTGTGATTTGTTTTGCTGTTGAATATCTCGCTGGCAGGGTCTAGAACCCGCAGGACATCTATCCCAAGTGTATAGTAGGAAGGAAAGCAAAGAGACTGATATCAGTGTCGGTGACAACCATCTTGACCAGGGGTATCAAAGCTCCTGGAGACGGTTACAGTCCTGCCGAGCTTAGCTTCAGCCCTACTTAAAAACACTTGATCCAGCTAAACTCTACAGGGATGTGGCTCTCCTGAAACACCACCCCAGTCTAGCATGTTTATATATATATATATATATAAATTAAATCAGCAATGGAACTCAAAAACACGTTTTATGTGGCTGGCATTTTTATAGCCTGCTGTTGGAACAGTTCACATTCTGGTCAGCTGATTAAAAAAGCTGATGAGGTAATAAGGCTGTTCACTTAGTGAAATGTAGGAACTCATGTCTAACTTTTATAAATACAGTTTTCTTGATTCATTTTGCCTAATTACCCAAACCATTTCTTTAGATTTCGAAAAACGAATTCATATTTCTCAAAACTATGAATACATTTCACTACAATGTTTTCTGCAAAGCTCTACAAAACACTGCCCTAATTTTTTCACAGATTTAAACATGTTCTCATTCAGAAATCACAAGTACACAATATAATGATCTCAAGTCATCACAATGTAAACTCACAGTGTACTATTGATGGAATTTCTGTGGGTACCCCTATCACTAATACACCGTGTTAACTAGTAGAGTCAGGAGATTTCGTCAGGTCTGGGGGAAATATAAAACTGTAAAGTGAAAGTGACGTGTAGGCCAAGTATGTTAACCCATACTCGGAATTTGTGCTCTGCATTTATCCAACCAAAAGCTGATGAGGTAATAAGGCTGTTCACTTAGTGAAATGTAGGAACTCATGTCTAACTTTTATAAATACAGTTTTCTTGATTCATTTTGCCTAATTACCCAAACCATTTCTTTAGATTTCGAAAAACTAATTCATATTTCTCAAAACTATGAATACATTTCACTACAATGTTTTCTGCAAAGCTCTACAAAACACTGCCCTAATTTTTTCACAGATTTAAACATGTTCTCATTCAGAAATCACAAGTACACAATATAATGATCTCAAGTCATCACAATGTAAACTCACAGTGTACTATTGATGGAATTTCTGTGGGTACCCCTATCACTAATACACCGTGTTAACTAGTAGAGTCAGGAGATTTCGTCAGGTCTGGGGGAAATATAAAACTGTAAAGTGAAAGTGACGTGTAGGCCAAGTATGTTAACCCATACTCGGAATTTGTGCTCTGCATTTATCCAACCCATGTGCACACACACACACACACACACCTATATGTGGTTTAGTTGCTTTGTTCCTGGTTAATCTGTCCACTGTACTAAATAATTATCTTGGATTGTTTTTTCTATTTTCTATGAGCATGCTGAAATAAACAGATCTCGCAGCTTTTCGGGTCTGTCAGTACCTAGAAATACTTCTAAATTGTACTATCCCTGCACTCCAGGTTTCGAGCTGCCAGTGCTTTCTTAAAAGCATTGTGGGAAAAGTGTAATGACTGTGCGTTTCTTCGTGTAATCCCAGACAGACTGGATGATGGTGCAATCAGATCTCTGTGTGAAGCACTGGCTGTTGTCAGACTCCTTGTGGATAAAAAAAAATCTCACTGGATTAATACAATTAATGACAAAAGGAATGTTTGGAAATGTAAACTGATGTTTCCTACTGACACACTACAGCAAAAGATAGAAATAACGGACTTAAACCCATTTTTTTTTGTGAAAGTATTAATGGCTTATGACTTTTGAACAGTACTGTATGTTATGATAAGTTTATGTAATATGGAAACAGTGTACTTTATGACCTCTCTTTCAGCTTTATGCACCTGTATGGTGTTGTTTTTCATTTATGTACATCCTCAGAAAAGATTGGGCAAGATTCACTACAATAAGCAAGTACACATGAACGAAGTCATCCTCTAGCTGGCAGAAAAGCTTTACAATAAGAAACAGAGGTAGAACATCTCATCATCAGGGTACAGACTGAATGAACATGTACATTAAATGAACATACAGTAATATATGCATTTTTGAGTTAGTGTTTAAATATGAGATTATATGATCAGAATTCCTACTCATTGAATAATAAGACTATTTCACAGACACATCTCTGAAAACATGGGCTATACACTGACAATATATGTTTTAACAAAATATGTTATACATAATTAATATAGGTAAATGGATAAATAAAAGTCAATCTGCAAAGACTATATATACCTAAAATTGGTCAATTTAGTATATAGGCATTTGCTAGCTGAATGGTGCCACAAGCCTTTTGGTGTCCAAAGTACATTAGTGACACAGCTCTACTGAAAAACCCCAGCAACCCTTGACTCTTCAGACACCCTGAATTAGACTCTTATCTTTATTACCCTTCAAAGTCCTTGTCTTGATCTCGGATGATGTCAACAAGAACAAACTCACTGAAGAATATCTTTCAGCTTTCAAACGCCACTCACCACAGAAACTGGCGTAATTACAGTAATATTATGTACAGATGCAAAATTGCATATAACAGTTTAGTGGCATATAAAAAGTATTAATGTCAATAAATATTGTAATTTTTTTGATTGATACATTTTTGTAATTAAAACTGAGCATAATTCAACCTGTACTGTATTCAACATTGCTGTTTTTAAAAGAAGAGATTATTTCCCTTAAGAACGTCTCTCAAACGTATTGACTAAAATATAGGGGAAGATGTCCCATGAAGAACAATGTGGATTTACTGCTAAATTGTTACATAGTTAGATATGGAGGTGAGGAATAATACAAAAATGGTCAAATTCACACACTTAATCTAATCCATCACTATTTCAATTACAATTAAGGACAAAACTCTGAATTCAGAGTTTTGACTTTGGCAGAAACAGAGAAGAAAATAGAGAAAAATGAGTGTAGCTGTTGTTCAAACTAAGCAAAGAATGATAATGTGCATTTGATCAGATATAACTATATCAAAATAGTGGCCTATGGTTAGAGAGTCGGACTTGTAACCCGAAGGTTGTGGGTTTGAGTCTCAGGTCTGGCAGGGATTGTAGGTAGGGGGAGTGAATGACCAGCACTCTTTTCCACCTTCAATACCACGACTGAGGTGAGACCCTTGAGCAATATTGCTGCCCGTGTGTTCACTACTGTGTGTGTGCACTTGGATGGGTTAAATGCAGAGCACAATTTCCGAGTATGGGTCACCATACTTGGCCACACGCCACTTTCACTTTAATCATGTCAGCGGTTTTCAATTGCAGTCCTCACGACCCCTCACTCTGCATATTTTGCATGTCTCTCTTTTTTAACACACCTGATTCAGATAATCAGCGTGTTAGAAGAAAGCTCCATGCATGAACTGTGTTCCGACTGACAGGGTCCCTACACAGTGTTCATTGCTCCCTGCTCCCTACTCCCTGAGCAGGGGAAATCTATTGAAGTTTACTTCACTTCGGAACATTCATTCACGGATTTGCACTACGCCACTGCCTGCAGTGTCTTCACACACAGACGAAACTTACTAGAGTTTGTGTGAAGTGTGACATAATATACCTCTGTAAATAAATACAATGTAAATTCACGTCTTGCGTACTTTAATGCCCTTTGAATGGAACATATACATTGGAATCATGGCAAAATATCCTGTGATGTCCACTTCTTTGAGAAACACTGCATTATGTGAATGAGTGGCTTAAGCATCTTTAATCTAGATTTAAACAGAGAGAGTTTGTCTGAACCCCAAACTTTATCAGGAAGGCTATTCCAGAATTTAGGAGCCAAATGTGAAAAAGCTCTATCTCCTTTAGTGGACTTTACTTTCCTAGGTATTACAAAAAGAGTTTTGCTACCTTATGGAGCGTGATGGATTGTAGCGTGGTAGAAGACTAGTTAGGTACACAGGAGCTAACCCATTTAGGGCCTTATAAGTAAGTAGTAATATTTTGTAATTAATTTAATTTAATAAGAGTAAATTATTGGTCATGCAGTCTTTTACATTTTTAACACACTCTGTTAGCTTAGATAATTTTGAAGTTTCATCTGTTCTTGTTGAAATATATAGTTGAGTATCATCAGCACAACAATGGAAACTAATCTGTATTTTCTAATAATATTACCAAGGGGCAACATGTATATTGAAAATAGCAGTGTGCCTAAGACTGATCCTTGTGGCACTCCATACTTTACTGGTGTTAATTGAGATGATTCCTCATTTAAATAAAGTGATAACGGTCGGACAGGTAGGATCTAAACCATTCTACTTAAAGCCTGCCCTTGAATACCCGTATTTTGTAATCGATCTGTGAGTGTCATGATCTATAATGTTGAACGCAGCACTAAGATCAAGTAAAACTTGTGAGATGCAGCCTTGGTCTGACGCAAGAAGCAAGTCATTTGTAATTTTAACAAGTGCATTTTCTGTGCTATAATGAGGCCTGAAACCTGACTGAAATTCTTCATAAAGATCATTTTATTGCAGGAAGGAGCACAATTGAGCAGACACAACTTTTTCTAAAATTTTAGACATAAATGGAAGATTTAAAATTAGTCTGTAATTTGCCAGTTTACTAGGATCTAGTTGTGGTTTGGCTTAATTGTTAATTGTTTTGGAACGTGACCTAGAGATAATGACAAGTTAATAATATTGAGAAGCGTTTCTGTTACCTGTAGTGGTTCTGCTACAGGTAACAACCCTTTCAGTAATTTAGTGGTTACAGGATCTAATAAACATGTTATTGGTTTGGATGCAGTGATAAGTTTATTTAGCTCTTCCTGTCCTATAGTTGTAAAGCACTGCAATTTTTCTTTGGGTGGGATGAATGAAGCTGAATTACAAGATGCTGTAGATTCTTCATTTGTTATTGTATTTCTGATGCTATCTGATTTATCAGTGAAGAAATTAATAAAGTCATTACTACTAGACTGTGAGGGAATTTTTTGTTTGGGTGACGTCCGAATATTTGTAATATTTGTCTAGCCACTGTGCTAAATAAATCTCAATTAGATTCAGGTTTGGGGAATGTGAGGGCCAGTCAATGGCATCAATGCTTTCCAGAAACTACCTACACACTCTGGCCACAGGAGGGGGGGCATTGTGATGCTTTCATCCGTGAAGAGAACGGGGGGCCAATGACGGACTTGCTAATTCTGGTGCTCTCTGGCAAATACCAGTCGAGCTGCATGGTGCTGAGTTGTGAGACAGGTCCCACTACAGTATGTCAAGCCCTCATGCCGCCCTCATGGAGTCTGTTTCTGACAGTTTGGTTAGAAACATGCACACCAGTAGCCTGCTGGAGGTCATTTTAGAGGGCATTGGCAGTGCTCCTCCTGTTCCTTCTTACTCAAAGGAGCAGATACCGGTTCTCCTGCTGGGTTATTGCCCTTTCTATGTCCCTGTCCATCTCTCCGCATGTAATGGCCTGTTACCCAGTTCATGCTCTTGAGATACACCAAACCTCCTTACGACAGTGCATATGGATGTGCCATCCTGGAGGAGCTGGATACCAGTGCAACCTGATTGGGTTGCAGTCACTGCGTCATTCTGTTGCCTCTCCAGTGAGAAGGACCCTAACACCACACAAAACTAGAAATCAAATCAGACAGGAAGGATTAGGATTAGGGCAATTGTCTGTGTCCACCACCTGCTAAACTGTACTTGCTGTAGCCTCTCCAGTACACCTGTTGTCACTTTAATTTGAACCAAAACAGGAGAAACTGATCCACAATCACTTGTGCTTCCTAACCGACAGACTGATATCCCTGAAGTTAAACTGACTTGGTGTTATAAAGCGATCATTAAGTGTTCCCTTAATGTTTTTGAGCAGTACATATGTAGAGATCAGTGAGAGTATACAGCAAGTTTGTATAGTGAATGGTGTTAATCATTTAACTTTAATGGGTTGCTTCAAATTGAGTTGTAATAAAATGTAAAATGTAAAATAGAAATAAATATTTTTCATCATTTTGAATAGATATACAATCACAATATAATATAGAATACCATGCCTGTCATGCTTTTTGTATTAGCTGAATGTTTACTGCACTCATGTCATGCTGTTTGGAAACCTGTATAGAGTGAGAAGGAAGTGAAGGCATGTGACAGAGAGCTCTATCAGTGTCAGTAACAGCGTAAACATTTTCATACATTCTTCAAGTTGTTTTGTAACTTGTTGATGTCATATTTCTATGTCCTTATGTACATACTGTATGTATATATGTATGTATACATATATATGTATATGTACATGTCCATTGTATTAAAGTATTTACGAAGACAAAAAATAAATAAAAATGTATTACATTTCCTGAATTCTAATGTTAAGCTCCATTGCTAAGTGCTATTTTGAGAGCATGTCCTGACAGGAATGCTGTTGGGTCACTTCTGTGGAGTCAGTGAGCTGAGCAAATCTGCCAAATTTTAAAAGACTGTCAAACTTTACCTTGCCTGAAAGTTAACAAAGGCTTAAAGTTTGAATGTTTAAGATAGATAGATAGATAGATAGATCGATGTGCATGGGAGAATCTTGGATGAAGCAGTAAGTATTTGTTTGCTTAGAGCAAGAATTAAAGTAAGCGATAAGTATTAGAACATTAGCTTTTTGCATACTTTATAGTATAGGAGTAGTTGTTGTGATGGTGTTGCTAAGTGGTTATCAGTGTGTTCTATTGCACTGTCAGAAAAAACATCAAAAACCCTTTACAGGTTTACAACAGCTTGGCAATGGGGCAGTACCATTAAAGGGACAACTTTATACCATCTTTTTACTACTATGAACCTAGTGACAAGCTGTTGTACACCTAAAGGTACAAATTTTGCACTTTTTTTTTTGAGAGTGTAAATTCGGACAGATTCAATGACAGATGGATAGATGGGTGCTAACATGGCCTAATGATCTGAATTTTACACTGACCGTGAGGAGGCAGCTGCGAAATTCTTTCTGATGTTTCTGAGCGCTCCTGGTAAGCTGCAAACTCAAAGAAACTTGAGGCTTTGTGTGTGTGTGTGTGTGTGTGTGTGTTATATTGCATATATGCCTGTTTTTCAGTAATTGTCCGCTTCACCTCTGCCAGTTAAGCTGACTGTGTATCCTTGTTAAAAGAATTTCGATGACATGGTCTTGTGTGTCACAGGGATGATTTAACCAATTAAAGAACAGCTGCCTAGTTATGGACAATGGACAAATCTAGCATGGGTAGGATATTTAAAGAAGCTGCAAAGAGATGACTTCATGGAGATTTGGAGCACTCTGCAAGGTAAGTTTTAAAATCAGCTCAATGTGAAAAGTTAAAGATTATGTTTGGCTTTTTTGGATGGAATTTTCTCAACTCTCATTTATTGCTTAAATTTCAGATGAAATTCCAGGTTTTTCATCTCTCTTCCACTCTTCAAACCACAGTCTTTTTCTTGCTGGTGCTACTGGTTCAGCCTCCCAGAAGTCTAATGCTGCCACACCATCCCATGGTTTACCTGCCTACGCTGGACAACCCTAAATGGGAGGCTGCAATGCTCCAGCTTCAGGCTTCACTGGGAGCTCCAGGCGGCAGACCAGTGGCGGAGCTCCAGCCCTGGGCTCTGATTCAGGAGCCAGGACCCGAGGAGCTTCTGGAAAGAGTGAAGTCAGACCTACGATGGGGACAGAGGGGCATTGTGAAGGGCCAAAAGAGAGAGGAGCTGGGACGGAAACCAATGGGGACATTCCCAGACAACCATATAGTGGCTGTGCCATATTCACAAGGGGGAGAGGTTGAAGAAGAGGGTGGAGAGAAGCGAAACGAGGTGCTCACTTCCATCGCAGGAGGTTTGCAAGCCTTCGACAGACAGAAAGGAGGATTTGGCTTTCGATTTGGCAGAAAGTGAGTGTTTATGTACAATATGTGTGGATGTAGATATATTTTGGGGACAAATTTGTCCCTAAAAGTGAGCTAAATCTGATGAAACCACCCTTTGGGAATGTCCTTTGAAACTTGTGGGGGGGGGGGATTAATGTTAATTAATAAAATTAATGTTTATTTCATTGGAAAAAATGCAGATTATATGACATTTATTAAAAATTGTTAACAAATATTCTGTTGTCCTCACTTATTTTTCCATAAAACATCTTTCTCACTTTCTTTCTCACTTTCATCTATAAAGTTTTATGGATGTGTATACTGTCTCTGACTGGCTCAACTCGATGTATGTTGCCAATGTAGCTGCATGACACCTCAAATCAGCAAATATCATTAAAAATCAACTTCTTGCTTTGCAGTGAGCAAATCGCTTAACTTAAGGTTATATTAAAAATAGAGATGTCCTTAAAAAATAGTGTCTATAAAACTGCATTTCTGAGGTCAAAATATAATTTTCCTGGTTTTGAAAATATTAATATACAGCATGGATGTTTCTGACAGAAAAAAAATTGCCTTTTTTTGTTGTTTTTTTGTGTGTGTTTTTTTGGTGGTCATGAAATATGAAAGGCAATGTCATAGACAGAGATAACTCATTAGGGCCAAAATTTATACAACTAACTAAATTGCTACAGATCTTGCTATTCCTGACAGTTTGAAAGAGGATTGTGCGGTAAATACACTAGACTGCATAGAAACAAAACAAATATGGGCTTGAATAGATCATAATAAATTGGATGAAACAATACTCCGTCTTAAGCTAAAAGGGGAAATCAACTGTGAATAGTCTAATGGTTTTTCCCGTTTTAACACTTCTTAATATTTATATACATTAATGTCTATTCTTCGATTCACAATGATTGTACAAATAAAATATATATTTGTTTAATTACTTTTAGTTTGCTGTTAAGTTTTGCACTTAAATCTAACAGTACACTGAAGAGTTACTCTCCTAGAGATGTATGTAATGTATGTGGCTGGAGCTATACTTTATAGAGAACCAATAAATATACGGCTATTTAAATAAAGCTATTTAATTTAATCCTGTTTAATTTAGCATATTTTGTTTTGCATACTTTATTTGAAATAACATTATCAGAGCAAGGTCGTAATATAATTATTTTAATATTACAACTGGAACAGAAACTCCGGACTCCTCTGCGCTTGTGGTTTTTAGTGACGCTGCGCTGTCTGTTTTAGCATTGGATAAGATCTCTGGAGGATGTGGATGGGGAATTTTAACATAACCTGTCGGACTGGTATCAGTTCAACAAAAGCCGTCAGCGGAGGAAGACGCACGGAGGGGCTGAATCCTTAACAGGCTTTAAAAATGGCAATTTTCACCGTTTTGTGCTCGGTAGTTCTGCTCGGTGCTGCTCTACCTGCCTGGAGTGGTGAGTGGTTTCATTTTTAGTGGTTTCCTGGAGTGGTTTCGGCGCAAAAGAGATACTTAATTTTATTTCTTTCGTAAAACTGAAAGTAAAACAAGAGTTGTCATAATTTTTACGGTTTCTCAACATCTTTACTATACTATATATTAACATAATGAGTGTTTAAAAAGACTGAAACTTAAACATTCCCGAGTGTTAGTTCAAGTCTATTTTGTTGTTCAGGTGTGTCAGTAAAATTGTCGCTCAGGAAACGAGTACAGAAATACTCTCGGTTCTGGAACTTGTAGAACGTCCTTGGAGAAAAAAACAAACAAAACGGAAGTGTATGTTAAATCATTTCGACTGGTCTTTTAACTAGGCGTACTAAACTAAACTTAAAATGATACCTTGAATAATAAGGTTGAAATAATTTTACCTGCCAGTTTTCGTGATATTAATATTAATATAATATAATATTAATATTAATATAAATGTAATATAATTATTATTTTATAGGGAAATTACGTATTGCTCTAATAATAATAATAATAATAAAGTGCTATGGTCATTTGGAACCATCTTAAAGGAACACTCCACTATTTTTGAAAATAGGCTAATTTTCCAACTCCCCTTGAGTTAAACAGTTGAGTTTTACCGTTTTCCAATCCATTCAGCCGTTCTCCGGGTCTGGCGGTAGCACTTTTAGCTGTAGCTTAGCATAGATCATTGAATCTGATTAGACCGTTAGCATCTCGCTCAAAAATGACCAAAGAGCTTCTATATTTTTCCTATTTAAAACTTGACAAATGTAATATAATTATTATTTTATAGGGAAATTACGTATTGCTCTAATAATAATAATAATAAAGTGCTATGGTCATTTGGAACCATCTTAAAGGAACACTCCACTATTTTTGAAAATAGGCTAATTTTCCAACTCCCCTTGAGTTAAACAGTTGAGTTTTACCGTTTTCCAATCCATTCAGCCGTTCTCCGGGTCTGGCGGTAGCACTTTTAGCTGTAGCTTAGCATAGATCATTGAATCTGATTAGACCGTTAGCATCTCGCTCAAAAATGACCAAAGAGTTTCTATATTTTTCCTATTTAAAACTTGACTCTTCTGTAGTTACATCGTGTACTAAGACCGACGGAAAATGAAGCTGTGTATTTTATACAGTTCAATAAATAAAAAGTGTTTATTAAAACAAATAAGCAATCGATCAAAAACATAAACCAGCCTAACCTGGTTTGCTGGTCGTAGCCGGTCTCCTAGCCTTAGTCAGGCTGGTCTGTTGGCTGGTGCAACACTTTTCAGCAGGTCAAGTTGACTTAAACTATAGGCTACCAGTTAATACCAAACTTAGCAAATATTCTTAGTCTGGTTTTTAGCCGCAACCCCCCCCCCCAGCAGTGTGTAAAGTAACTTACATTTTAGACACAATGTTACGAGTAACTTTGTCTATTTTTCTATCATATATTTATATAAATAATAAACCTTGATTTGGAGGATCCAGACTGATTTTATTTATATCATCTGGTTATATATATATATATATATATATATATATATATATTTATATACTTATTTCTTATTCCTTTGCAGATGTCCTCATTGGAGAAAAACACTCCCTATACTACATATACACAGCTTTATCCAAACCTGTCAATCAGCCGGGCATCTATCAGTTCACTGCTATGGGTCTGCTTGATGACAGACAGATTGACTATTACAATAGTGATGGCCAGAGAAAGATTCCCAAACAGCAGTGGATGAAAGAGAAAATGCAGGAGGATTACTGGGAAAAAGGCACCCAGTCAAGAAAGAGCAAAGAGCAGTGGTTTAATGTGAACGTCGACATTCTGATGAAACGTATGAGACACAATGAGACAGGTGAGGATCATTGATACATTTAACCTGCAAATACATATTTTTATGTACATTTTTAATTATTTTATTATCATCTGACGCTCAAACATTTTAATTTGTGTCTATTTCAGATGTTCATGTTCTTCAGTGGAGACATGGTTGTGAAATTCAGAAACAGGGAAGTGAAGTGAAGTTTTCCAAAGGCATTGATGAGTACAGCTACGATGGAGAGAACTTCCTATCTTTTGATGATAAGGAGTCTCAGTGGGTCGCTCCTGTTGATGCAGCTGTTCCAACCAAGAAGAAATGGGATAATGTGCCCATCCTAAACCAGTACTCCAAGGGCTACCTGGAGAAAGAGTGTGTGGACTGGCTTAATAAATTTAGAGACTATGGAGATGAGGAGCTCAGAAAGGGCTGTGAGTACATGTACAGTATTTGTATTTGTTGATGATCTGCAGCTGTCATAGAGATATAACTCATTGATAAACTGTTTTCTGTGTTTTCAGCTCCTCCAGAAGTTCATGTGTTTGCAAAAAAGTGTACCAGTGACAAAAGCAAGCTGAAACTCACCTGTCTGGCCACTGGCTTCTACCCCAAAGATGTGATATTGACCATAAGGAAATATCGCACACCCCTGCCTGAAGATGAGATTGAATCCTCAGGAGTCAGACCAAACCATGATGAAACCTTCCAGCTGAGGAAGAGTGTGGTTATCAAGGAGGATGAAAAAGCAGAATTTGATTGTTTTGTGTTTCACAGTACCCTCAAAGAACCAATTATCATTAAATGGGGTAATTAACGTATATAGACAGAAATATCACATGCAAATGTCATAAAACAAAAGACTTTTAAGTTATGAACTTACATTTTCCCCTTTTTTATGCTTGTCATATCCTTAATAAGTTCAGAGAGTTAAAATATCTATCTTTTTGATTTGTATAGATGGAAAATGCCAGGACTGCCCACCAGAGACTATTGCAGGTATGATTGGAGCAATTATTGGAGCAGTGATTGTGCTGGCAGTCATTGTAGTAGTGGTTTTCGTCTTAAAGAAGAAAAAGATTATTGGTGAGTAGTGACTGATTAATAATAATCCAAAAACATTCGGTTTTGTGTTTTCAAAGGAATAATTTTCCACAAGAAGAAAATGTTGTCATTGTTTGTAGTCGTTATATAATGCTTTTGAGTTCCACTGAACAAACAGCATACAGGTGTTGAACAAATTGTGAGTGAATGATGACATGATATTTCATTTCACTATTCCTTTAACAAATAAAGATCCAAATAGATATGTTTGTACTTGAGATAAGATTACAGTGGGGAGGAAGTCATTTCCTTTAACATGTTTCTGTCCCCAAGCTTTTGGACCATTGTTATTTTTACATTAGTATTACAGTGCAAAGAGTATTCAGAATACATTCATTTTTTCTGTCATGCCCTTTAGCTTTCAACAGCAGGAATGGCCAGAAACGTAGCAGTGATGAAGAGAATGTTTCTCTGCAAGGTACAAGTTATCCCATTCCCAATATTTAATCAGTCTTATGCACCAGGCTATGTTAAAAAACACTTTAACATCTTCAGCAGAACCAGCGAATGCTAGTAATAGATCAGACAGCAATTCGAGCTCATCTCAGGTGGATGGAACCCCTTCTGGTAAATATGTTTTAAGATATTCCATTTACCAGGGTGATGTTAATTGTATGTATATACAAATTGTCCACTGTAAACATTGTTAAAAAGACTGTGGAATCAAAGTGTAAATATAAGTAAAATGTCCAGGCATTGGTGATACATGTCCAGTAGAGATACATTTTACTATGCAGTTCAGAATCTCTGATGTGGCTTGTATTGCTGCTTAACTTGAACTTATGATTGCTATGCTACATCTAGATGACGGACTCAATACAGTAACAGCAGGAAGGGAGCACAGTGCTGACTCTGACTCTGACTCTGGTGAATATGCCACTCATGCTTTTCTTTAAAAAATGCACCAAAATCAGAATGCATCATTTAATACATAATTTGTCTTCCTGTAATCTAAACTGTTCTCATTGTGAATCTCATTGCACACACACACACACATAATTTATCAAAACAAGACCCTATTGGATAAACAGATATTCTGACAAAACAAACGGAAAATTAGGAATGTCAGTTTTTTAGCATTGCTTTTAAATGTGGGTTTTTGAGTCTAAATTTATATTATTATTAAACATTATAATAATAGATTTAGTCTGTTTAGAACTATTGTTTCATGTGAACAGGTGCTCATTAACACACAGGCTTCAATGTGCTGAAGCCCAGGGGCCTACACTTGGGAGGGGCCTACTGGCTGCAGGTAAATTATATTTTTCTAATAATTATTTGTTTTTTATTTGTTTACATGGGCGTTTGCAACAGTGACAACAGCATTCTGTAAACAAACCAACACACTCATTTTCAGTGACGCCCTGCTTGTAGTATATGTAGTGAATGGTTCATGTATTGTTGTTTTTTTAACCGTAAAATGAGACGACACACAGGTGACTCTAGAACTCACATGCTTTTTCTTTTACTTCCATGTTACGCACTTATCATTACGTATTACACTTGAATACATTACATCCCCCTCTTTTTTTTTAAACAGTTATCAAAACATTAAATAATGCATTAACCACATAAGCATTATTGCTTATAATTAAGCATTTACGCGGATGCATTGATACAAGAGACTATTTTAGTGTATTTTATAGTCTCTGAATCTTGAAGGAAGTTTAACTTCTCTTCCAGATCTAGTGATGATGATTGGCTTGCTCTCAGATGATCTTTCTTGACGTGTTTGCTCCACCACAACAGGTAAGTCTGGATTCATTTTGCTTTCCAGGTTTGCATTAGTGTTTGACTCATTGTCAAAGTAATCTCGATCACTTGTTGAAGGAAATTATTGTTCTTTTGTCTTCAATAGATGCCTTCTGTTTCCTTCTATAAATCCTTCCAAGTCTGTGAACAATGTATGACTGTTGTGTTCATGAGTAATGTTGTGTTACGACTGCTATTTTGAACCAGAAGTTTTACTATTTAGGTCATGCTTGAGGAGGAAACTGGTATTAAAATAAGAAGAGAGGTTCGTTATTACTGACTCGTCTAGTTACCGCTCAATAACTCCTTCCCTTTCCGAAGCAGCAGAGCCCGCTAGTACTCTCTCCGAGGTGGCAGATCTCGTTTCAGACCTTTCCGAAGCGGCGGAGCCCGCTGATAATTCCCTCCGAGGCGGTGGAACTCGCTTCAGGCCTTCCCGAAGTTACCGTGTCCGCTCACGGTTTCCCCCGAGGAGGCAGCGGTGTTCGCCCACAAATCTCCTGAAGTGGTGGTGTCCGCTCACAGTAATCCTTCCAAGTCTGTGAACAATGTATGACTGTTGTGTTCATGAGTAATGTTGTGTTACGACTGCTATTTTGAACCAGAAGTTTTACTGTTTAGGTCATGCTTGAGGAGGAAACTGGTATTAAAATAAGAAGAGAGGTTCGTTATTACTGACTCGTCTAGTTACCGCTCAATAACTCCTTCCCTTTCCGAAGCAGCAGAGCCCGCTAGTACTCTCTCCGAGGTGGCAGATCTCGTTTCAGACCTTTCCGAAGCAGCAGAGCCCGCTAGTACTCTCTCCGAGGTGGCAGATCTCGTTTCAGACCTTTCCGAAGCGGCGGAGCCCGCTGATAATTCCCTCCGAGGCGGTGGAACTCGCTTCAGGCCTTCCCGAAGTTACCGTGTCCGCTCACGGTTTCCCCCGAGGAGGCAGCGGTGTTCGCCCACAAATCTCCTGAAGTGGTGGTGTCCGCTCACAGTTCCCCCCGAGGCGGCAGTGTCCGCTCACAAAGCTCCCGAGGTGGCGGTGTCCTCTCACAGTTCCTCCGAGACGGTGGTATCTGCTCACAGTCCCACTGAGGCGGCGGTGTCCGCTCACCAATCCTCCCGAAGCGGCGGTGTCCGCTCACAGTTGTCCCGAGGTGGCGGTGTCCGCTCACAAAGCTCCCGAAGCGGCGGTGTCCGCTCACAAATCTCCCAAAGGTGGCAGTGTCCGCTCACAGTTCCCCCGAGGTGGCGGTGTCTGTTCACAAATCTCCCGAAGTGGCAGTATCCGCTCACACTTCCTCCAATGCGGCAGTGCTCGCCTCTGGGGTTCCCGAAGCGGCGGAGCCCACCATTGCCCGTTCCAAGATGGCAGCTCCACACACACCGCTGTGGTGGCCGCTGGTTCTGCCCTGGGTCCCCATCCCACCAGCTCTACCTCAGTCCCCAGGTCCCCCTCAGGCACATGGACCTGATCCCCCCATCCCTCCCCCAACTCCGCTCCTGCTCTGCCATCCCCCTGGTTGGGCGCTCAGGAATGTCTCAGGAAAGTTCCTTAGAGGAGGGGTCCTGTGAGGGGTCCGGGACCTGTGTTTCTCCCTCTCACCACCAGAGGTCACCATCTCCCTTCCTCTCGGACTCCATTCCCCAGACTCCACTCACCTGTCACTCACTTACACCCATTGTCACAGACTATATATTCTCCTCTCACTCACCACTCTGCCTGGCTGAATTATTGTAATGGTAGTTGTATTTCTTGTTTGTAGGTTGTGGATGCGAGCACTTTCTGTTTTGCTTTGTCTGTTTTTGTTGATTAAATCGAGGGTAATATATGAATATAAAAAAGTGTTTTGACCATGAAGTCAGAAAGGCTTTGAAATTTAATTTTTTCCAGAAAAATCAATGTAATATATTTTTGTTCAATAATATTTTTTTTATTATTATTTAGAATTTTGAGGGGATTTTATGATACTATGCAATATTTATACAGTTTTGATGAGCTATTTTTTTGATAAAAAAAAGGAAAAAATTTGATAAAATTCAAAACAAAATATTTCGATCAGTTCCGACTAGGGTTGGGTATCGTTTGAATTTTATCAATTCCTATTCCGATTCTGCTTATGGATTCCCAGTTTCAATTCCAATGTGGTTAAAAAAATTTAATTCAAACATTTAGATATCAAACATATATATTCTATGTCTCTTTTTCCAAACCATTTAGTTGCAACTGAATACCATGAACAAAAATCAGCAGGCTTCATAAAAGCTGAACTCGATTAAGAGCTGTTTGTGTGCAAAATAGAGCTGCACAATTCTGGATAAATTGAGAAAATGTTTTCATTAATAAATTACATGTGATTTTTTTTTAAAAATCACATGTAATTTATGAATGAAAAATTCAATGACTCACTCAAGATTTACTTGTTTCATTATTGGATGAACAGTGTTTTTGAATGAATCTCTTGAATGATTCAAAGACATACATAACAGCTCCTTTTCGCCACCTACTGGCGTGACAACGTAATCGTTAAATCTTTATTTGAAACGTCTAATTACTTTCAAAAGGTGATTTACTCTATTTTAATCACTACCTTACACATCAGTATTTATATCCAAACTATAAACTTTTATCCCCGTACTTCTGTGATTATTTTAATGATTGTAGCACAGAAATAATGATACTGTGTGGTTGAAAAGACTCTTTGTGTGTTTGTTTGCTTGTTTTGTTTTTATAATAAATAAGAAAACAAGTAGAAAGAATAGAAAAAGAATAGGGAATGCTAGTGTTAGAGGGTCATTTTAAAATAAAAAATAAACAAAAAAAGAATAGAAAAAGAATAGATAATGCTTGTGTTAGAAGGTCATTATTTATAATAAATAGCAAATAAGTAGAAAGAATAGAGAAAGAATAGAGAATGTTAGTGCTAAAGGCTCTTTTTTCTTTTTAAATAAAACAAGCAGTTAGAATAGAATTAGAATAGAGAGTGCAAATGTTAGAGGGTCCATTTTTTAAATAAGAAAAACAAGCAGATAAAATTAGAATTAGCGTTATAATAGAGATTGGTAGAGTTAGAGGGTCAAATGAAGATATAAGAGATGTGTTTTCAGCTGTTTCTTGAAAATGATTAAGGACTCAGCTGCTTGGATTGAGCTGGGCAGTAGAGACCTGCGCGGGACGGATTTTTCAGTCCCGCTCCCGCCCGCGACATTCATGTTTTGTCCTGCTCACTCTCGCAAAAGCCCGCATAAAAGTAATCTATATAGATTTTTTTTAGTAGGCTACATCGAATAAATTTATGATTAATTGCATTTAATCATGATTAATTGCATATTTATATATAGTCATAATTTCACATTGAACCTCCAAATTGAAAACTAAAGGGTGGTATATGTTTAATGGCATCCCATTACCAAGTAGCCTATTATTAACAAAGGCCAGTATTTTTGATACCAATACTGCTACTGATGTCTAAATGCATTTTCACCTCAATTTTAGCCATTAATTATAGCCATTCAACATTACAGTATTGAATTCTGTACATTACAGTACAGTATTCGATTGAAAGTGTTACGGGGCTGACGAGACGTGAGACTTGCGGATCCATTCGCGACATTATTTTTAACATTTAGAAGGCTCTGAAAAATATTACTTTTGATTTAAGTGAGCTCAAAACAATCTTCACATACTATAAATTGTATTTTATAGTTTTGGTATAATTGTGTGTTTTTGTCGGTCAATGAGCTACTGGCGCACTCAGCGTTTGTGTACAGCTGAACGCGCAGCCTTTCAAACTGTACTCCCGTCGGATAAACATCTTCGTCCAGTGTCTGCGCTATTTCTCACCAGAAGTTATGACCGATATAATAACACTGTCTTTATACTCATTTAAACTAGAGTATCTCATAACCCAGTTACATAAGTGCTCGTCAACATTTGACATTTATCCTACCCGTCAGATTGTCCTACCAGGGTTTACTGCGCATGCGCACATCAATATTGCGTCATTTTTCTCACACTGAACAATATTTAATGTATCTGCATTACTGTAAGGGTAGGTTTAGGGTTGGGGTAGGTGTAGACTTTAATAAAACACAATCTAATAGGTAGAAAAAATTATTTATTGTTGGTTTCCTGTAGCTGTATCTCTTCTAGACACAACCGCGAATATAACAAATAACTACTGTATTTGCATTACTGTAAGGGTAGGTTTAGGGTTGGGGTAGGTGTAGACGTTAATAAACCATAATTTTACAGGTAGCATTTTTCGTTGTTGAATTGTACTACCCACTGTTTTAATGGGAGGTAGCCAGATCTGACAGGTGCACAAATCGACAAAGCACAGTTTATTGATGTTGCGGTCTCCGGTTGTTGTTGTTCCGTCTCTTCCTTTTCTTTTTCGGCTGTGAAACCACGGCCTGGGCCAGTGTAGCCACCTTGTGGACAAATTATTTAGTGCAAAAAACAACTCAAGGCGTATATGTGCGACGTGCGACGTGCGACTCTTCTCTCGGGCCGGATGAAGATGATTGGCGGGCCGGATTGGTCCCATGGGGCGCCAGTTGAATAGCCCTGCTGTAAACAGAGACATTAGCATGGTAGAGACTGCCACATTACTGTAACTCACACTGTAAAGGTCAGCTACAGTACAGACTAAGTCATATGCCAGAGTGAAAATATTTACTGTATTGGCCGCAAAATCTGTTCTAATCTAGAACATACTTCATGGCCATGTCATACTCTATCACACCTTTTGATGACACACTGAATAGGTGATATCTCGATTCACAAACATTGTGGATTTTCAATTATAGGCCTATGTATGTCAATTATGTAAGTTAGCTAATGTAAGTATATTTTCTAATGGTACATCTGTAGCCTGTGTTACTGTAATTATTTCAGCCAATAGGGGTGATTTGAAACATGTATCTTGCATTGTTTGCTACTGAATGAACGTTCATTATATATTGCAATAATCTTGTGTTTTGAAACGATTATGTAGACTGATCGTGTACTACAAAGAAAGCATGAGATCTGGTTTTGAAAGAGTGACTAATTGAGTTACAAAGTTGAGTTACAACTTTACTGGAATAGAATTGTAATGAAAAAGTAGCTACGATTTTTCAGTTTTTTCCCATATTACCTCAAGTTGCTAAATCTCACAAGCAAAAAGCGAATTGGTTAAACTTCGGTGGAAGAAATGCTTATTGTAAAATATAGCATTAATAAATATTATGGATCATTGAACACCAACCTATCTATCACTCTTGCCGGTTTTAAATGTAATAAGGCGGCGCGCCTGTAAGGCTCGAGATGATTTAGTAATCTTGCTTCACCACATTTGCCCAGATACAAGTGAAATTATCACTCTGAATTTTCTTATTGGCTAACCTTCGTCCACCATTTTCTGCAACATGGAAGTTCAAGCTCAAACCGATGTGCAACGTTTTGCTACGGTTTCCGGGTTGAACAACATGTTTCCTGGAAACGGTGTGCAACAAGGTTTGAGATACGTTTTCTGTTGTTTGGTGGGTGTGTTAAAAATGTCAGCCCAATCATCAGCAACATGTAAATAAACCACATGGTATTAAAGAGACAGCTTGCACAATGTAATTAACATCAAAATAAATTCACAAGAGCAAGTACAAACCCAATTCCCAAAAAGTTGGGACACTGTACAAATTGTGAGTAAAAAAGGAATGGAATAATTTACAAATCTCATAAACTTATATTTTATTCACAATAGAATATAGATAACATATCAAATGTTGAAAGTGAGACATTTTGAAATGTCATGCCAAATATTGGCTCATTTTGGATTTCATGAGAGCTACACATTCCAAAAAAGTTGGGACAGGTGATAAGAGGCCGGAAAAGTTAAATGTACATATAAGGAACAGCTGGAGGACCAATTTGCAACTTATTAGGTCAATTGGCAACATGATTGGGTATAAAAAGAGCCTCTCAGAGTGGCAGTGTCTCTCAGAAGTCAAGATGGGCAGAGGATCACCAATTCCCCCAATGCTATGGCGAAAAATAGTGGAGCAATATCAGAAAGGAGTTTCTCAGAGAAAAATTGCAAAGAGTTTGAAGTTATCATCATCTACAGTGCATAATATCATCAAAAGATTCAGAGAATCTGGAACAATATCTGTGCGTAAGGGTCAAGGCCGGAAAAACATACTGGATGCCCGTGATCTTCGGGACCTTAGACGGCACTGCATCACATACAGGAATGCTAATGTAATGGAAATCACAACAACATTCAGCTCATTCACTCGGCTGGTCTCGAGGTTGCAAGCTTCTCTGTGGCGCCTTATCTACTGAATCCTGATCTTTGTGCTGCACCAGGATTTGTTATACCAGGGGTGCCCAACCCTGCTCCTGGCGATCGACTGTCCTGCAAAGTTTAGCTCCAACTCTAATCAAACACAAAATTTGTGTTTGCCTTTAATTTTTAAGTGATCCTGAAGACCTTAATTAGTTGCTTCAGGTGTGTTTGATTAGGGTTGGAGCTGAACTTTGCAGGACAGTCGATCGCCAGGAGCAGGGTTGGGCATCCCTGTGTTATACTGACCTGCTG